GAGCCGCCGAATTTCCCACGCTGAGAGAAATTATCCGATAAAAAATTAACAAACAAATATTTTCAATCAAAATACCAATGAATTTTTGTATCCGACAAGAAAACATTCTATGAGAAATATTGGTTTATAATTTTTTGATCGGTTTACTTAATGAAATGCCATTATGATCGAAAGTATCCGATTAAATTTATAGGATATTGTGATCGAATATAAACATTGATCGGAATTTGACCGGAAATATTTGTTAATGTTTTTACATTAATTTACGTTAATTTAATTTTAACGTTATTTAATTTACGTTATATTATATTTAATTTTACGTTAATTTTAATTTTTAACAATGTGTTTAAGATGCATTTAAACAGAATTTAAATTTGAATCTAAATTTAAGGTAGTACCGTAAAATATATCGGTCCTTAGTTTTTTGAGTGGGCGCGTATATGCGTCTTATACACACACAGAAAAATGCATACTGCATTGAAGTAAATGTTACTTGTTTCAAGTATTTTATAGATTTGTATATCCGCAAATCTGTCATAAGTTCATCGCAGGCGTCAAACTTATTCAATCCATGCATTCTGAATCCCAACAAGTTTGGCATTTTAATCAACAATATTAAATTGAGATGAAAATTTGGTTTGCTTACCACATAGAATCGAGTCAATTTTGGCTTGGATAAAGTTTTATGATGTTCTTGTAAAAAAAATAAATTTTTTATTCGACAATGCATGACAATGAGCCTTTCTCGAACTTGCGATGTCTTCAAGAAAATCTACCATCAAGAAAATATTCTTGGTTGAAAATAGCCATCATTTAAAAGTAAACTGGGCAATCGCTTTTCTTAACAGCAGAACGATATTTTCTGATTGACCTGATCGATCTGAACTCTCAAATTTTGTATAGTTACTCTCTAGAATCCTGCGGGAAATATAGATTACGTGAAACACCCTACCCTTCTCCCCTGATTTTATCCCCTTGGCGCTTTGTGATAACCCGGGCAACATGGGGTAGTTATAGTTTTAGTTAGTCTATTGCAAGTTCCATCATGAGTATTAAATTTATTTAAAAGTCATTCTGAATTATAGGAAGTTTTGCATTTCAACAAGGAGTATTGAATTTAAACAAAAATTCAGTTTGTTTACTACACAGAGTCGAGCTAACTTCTTTTTCGATAATGTTTTATAATATTCTTGTAAAGAAAATTGATTCTTCATTCGAGTATATCACAATGAGCTTCTCTCAAATTTCTGATGAATGTATTCTAAAATCATGAAAATATTCTTTTTTGAAAATAATCATTACTTAAAAGAAGGAAAGTAAATTCGAGCAATCGCTTTTTTGTCAGCTAGAGAATGATATTTTTCTGTATATACGAATTTCTTCGATTTATACTGTCGATACAAACATCAGTTATCAACTGTTGCGTCTGACACTCATATTCTCCCGTTTTTTTCACGTATTTTAGCAACGGTAATAAACACAATTTCACGTGTCCTGGTACACTGTTTCCAATTTTTCAAAAAGTTTTCTTTCATTGATTACTCTACGATTAGATTTCGTCTGTAGCGATTGTTAAGAAGCACCCAAGAAGTTCAGGGTAATAAAACTTCCGAAAAATTTCTCACGTTCTCTCGTTTCAACGAGTAAAATCTTCTTCGCTCCGCTCCTGATCAAATTTTCTGATCAAATTTTCCCTCTCTTTTTTTTTTGTCGCGAGAACAAATCACGGGATTAGTGGTTTCTACAGGCTGGTGGCGTAGGAGTATGTTTAAGGAGCCTTTTAAAGCCATGAAAGTGAATAAAGCTAATCGGTCGAAGAGCGTAACTATGCACAAGGCGAAACACGGATACGCACAGGTCGCCGCAGGATTTTGTCCGCGATCTGTTTTACGAGAGTCACTCGTAAATATGTTTATCCCCCGCTACGGTCTTCGATTCGTCCTGCATCTCTCGCACAGCGCTCTGCTATCCACCAAAGGCATTGTCACATACGGCAGGATACTGAAATTGCGCCATTAATTTAACGAGGGAAGCGAGAGAAAGAGAAAGAGAGAGGGAGAGAATTGCTGCACATTTTCCCAGTAATTTTCAGTCGGGTATTGCTAGATACAGGAAAAACGTCCCGCAAGCTTTGGCCAGAGGGCTCGTGCAGAGAACGATCTGGATCGGATAATTTTATTATTCAACTCTCTCTCCCTTTTCGCTCTCTTCTACCTCCCCCACTTCCTCTCGCATCGCGTGATGGTAAACGCGGCGTCGCTAAATGATGAGTTGGCGATAACGTCGTTAACAGCACTGCGAGAGCGTAAAAGCTTTGCGTCATAAATATTTTTTTACCTACTGAATATTGACACTTTCGGAAATTGTATATTTTACGTCTTGGTAATATTTTCTCCGCGCCACGCGATATCGTGTTCCCCTGTATTTAATGTTAATAGCAGCAGTAATACGCGCTGGTGTTTACAGCAAGAACAACAACAATAAAAATAACAACAGTAATAATAGCTATTGCAATGTTAAACAATCCTCGTTAAAGTACTGCCCTCAGCGAACCGGGTTGTTTATCTGCACGATTTTGGATTTCGCGATGCAAAACTCATGATAAAATATATCTAGACATGTATTCAACTGCTCGTGTGTTGTAAGCGGAACTCGTTAAACTAAGCAGAAAAATTCTTTGCCGTTTTGTAAACTGCCACAGTAATTATCGAAATGTTAACGAAAAAGAAGCGGTCAATCGACGCGCGCGAATATATTCTGAGTCAGAGAGAAGTTGTTTTATTATCATTTCCTTTATTACTGTTTGCTTTTTTTTCAAACTGCATTTTATACTCATTAGAAACATAAAACCGACGCGTTTCGCATTGCAAATCTAAACCAAGGTTCTCCACTGACTCTTTAAGGGATGCCGGACATAAAAACTTTACGACATAACATTGACTTTTTTTGCAAAGTTTACATCTTGTTGCTTGCACAGAATTACAGACGCTATTACACAACAAAAGTGCATGTAAAAATAAAGTGGAGCATTGCTCAATATGTGACGAAAACGAAAAAAATATGTATAAATTTAAATTTTGAGCTGTCAGGAAAATTTCAAAGATCACTTCCAGAGTTTCGATATCAAAAAAGATACGAAAAGCTTGCAAAACGGTTTATAATTACATGCGGTTAGGTTTTCCGATAACTGTGATAAAGTAGAGCGAAAAATTAGTTCACGGATATTTTTCGAGATGGCACCGTACTTTTATCGCAACGACGGTAATAACTGAACAAAGATGAAGAAATCGTAAAGAAATTGTCGTAACGGCACGCCCGAGTTGTTTTCCTACGCGTAATAGCAATTAAACAATAACCGAATAAATTAAATAATAATTGAATAAAGAAGTAATAATACTCGAATATTAAATAATACTGGTAACAATATCTGCTCGACAATAATTGTGTGATAATATCCGCGAGTGGATAATAACGAAATAACGATGATCGAATAATCGGTAATAACAATGAATAACAATAACTGGGCAACGGCGATAATAACTGATGAAAGACAAGGTAAAAAAAATTGTCGTAATGGCTCGCCTGAGTTGCTTTCCTATGCGTAATAGCAATAATCGTAAATAATAATCGAATAAATTAAATAATAACCGAATAAAGAAGTAATAATACTCGAATATTAAATGGTAATAATATTTGTTCGACAATCGTGTGATAATATCCGCGAGTGGATAACGAAATAATGATGATCGAATAGTCGGTAATAACAATACCTGGGTAACGGCTCGCGCCGTTCGAATCATGTTATTCGATAACGGGGGCGCGCGGTCGAGTCATGTAAACACGCGTGCGCGAACACGTGCTCGAGCGTCACGCCACAACACTCTCAACCGTCGAGATGTGCACATCAGGAGCTGCCGCGTTATTTTTTAGATTATTTCGTGGCGATTTTTAATACCGCATTTCGACTTCGCGACAATTGAGGCGATAATTAAGACAAATTAAGACGCGTAATCCTCACGCAAGCAGGTGTTGCGGGCTTTACCGCGACAGGTAATTACCACATTTTATTTACTTTTTTGCCTATTAGATAGAGAAACATTGCGATCGAGTTCCTCAAGGCCGATCAAATCATTATCCATTTATTATTCGAGTATTATTATTTCTTTATTCGGTTGTCATTTAATTATTTTTATTGCGTATTGGAAAGCAACTCGAGTATGCCGTTGCGACGATTTCCTTACCTCGTCTTGCTATCGTGTGTAATTAATTGATGCTACCGGATATTATTATATGATTGTCAATCAGATATTAATATCATCATTCATTAATTAATCGGGTGTTATTCTTTATTCAGCTATGATTTAATTATTTCTTTATTGTGCATTGGGAAGGAACTCGAGCGTGCCTTTACGACAATTTTTTTTCTTCGTTTTGCTGTCACGTGTAACTAATTGATACTAAATTATTAAATTACTAAACTAAATTAAATTTCTGTCACAGAAATCCAATAGAGCAGACGCAGTCACGCGGCTCTAGATGCGATGTCTGGGGAATGTCGCGCCAGTGGATTCGACTCGGGCCTGTTTAAGTCAGTTCGAAAGTGAGCTTCACTAATTTGACTTATAATTAGAAATTTGACAAAACTGAAAATTTTCTTGTTTGGAATCGAGTTCCTTAATGCCTCCATCGTCGTGTAACTAATTAATACTCAATTAAATCTGTTTTTTGTTGCAGAGACTATCACTCGACTCTAAGGGGATGCAGCGCCAGAGGATCTAGCTCGGATCTGGCAGAGTTGGCGCGAAGATGAGTTTCACTAATTTGAATTCATAATACCGATAAATCCAATAAAACTTCGAATTTTCGTGTTTGAAATCGAGTTTTTTAATGTCTCCATTATCGTGTGTAATACTAAATTAAATCTGCTTTCTGTTGCAAAGACGAAACAGACGACCAGTCGATTCTTAGGGGCTGCTGCGCCGGAGGATCTGGCTCGGGCCGAACGGGGTTAGCTCGAAGGTGAGCTTCATTAATTAAAATTTGTAATTAGAAATCCGACAAGATTGATAATTGCTCGAAATCGAGATAATTTGAGTCGAACCAAAGATCGCGTTAAATCGTAATTACACGCGGGGAGAATTTTTTCTGAGTAACATGTCACTTGAAAAATTTTGATTTTTTCTGATTAAGAGATTTATTTGCAACGTCGAGAAAGAGGAAAGTAGAATATTCCAAGTGTGAATGCATTCCGAAAAAATTCTTCCAGCGTGAAAAATATTGCGTTTATTTTTTTTTAAATCCTTCAAACTTCTTCATTCAAATTGTCATCAACGCACGAGTCTATTCGACGAAATGGCATTTTCCTGTTCCAGAAACGAAAGCAGAATGTGGCTATCCTAATCGGCGCTTTGGTGAGTCAAAACAAGAAACATAATCATTTAATGTTATGTTAATTTAAATTATATTTAGTGTACACTCACTGCGCACTAGTACATTCAATCGAATTTGCTATTAGTAACAATTTACAAGTACAATTACAATTTACGCTAAAACTAATAACAAAATAAGTCCCCCCCCCCTCTCTCTCTCTCCATTTACGAGTATATTTTCATATTTTTATGAATGTTTAAATATATCATATTAATTTTGTTTATATTTATGTTTAAATATGTTTATTAAGACATTAAAAATCATTAAAATTGTTTTTTTATTTGAATTTATATACATCTGAAAAAATCTGGTGAAAAAAATTGTAATCTGGTGATTTTTAAAGCAGAAATCTGGTGAATAAATTTTTAGAGCCGCGGCAACACTGAGATAACATAGTGTGCCGTCACGACAGCAGGTGGCACGCTCGGTTAGGCGTTAACACGGACTCGAAGCCTGACGCCGATATGCCGCAACTTTGAACGGCTATAACACGCGAATGAGGCGACACAGCGACCTGAAACGAAAAGCAATCTCTTTGGCACGCGTCCATGCCGCTCTTTCGTTAGCCATTTGGAAAATTCGAATGTCGCAATCAATTAAAGCATGGTGGAACGAACAGCTCTAGCCACATAAGCGCTCTGCGCTTGACAAAATGGCCCCGCACAGTGGCTGGCCAATTAGCCCCGCACAGTGGCAACGCGCTAATATGACGAGCCATACACAGCAAACACGCTTACATGAATAACAGGCGACTCTTTTCATTCGCGATAAAATTGCTCAAATTCCTTTCTTCGTCTCTTCTATTCTAACAGTAACAAAATTGTTTCCATGGATTGGTAAAGTCAAAGAATAATTATTTCATGGTTATTTTCAAAGTGATAGAGAATTGTTTTATTCAATTTTATCAATTCTACTCGCACGGAAAAAAGAAAGATTTCTCTGCCACACCTAATCACGGTTTATTGATGTTGAACTAAGAATTTACGGTCGTAACCAAAATTTTCACTACTGTTGCTAGAATAAACTCAGGTATGATAGCCGTATGGAAAACATGGCCATAGGCTTTCTCCAATAATTGCTAAATAGTATGTTTTAGCACCTTAGTATACGCCCAGACAACACAATGTCCAAAATCGGATCATAAAACGTCTTTAAGACATCTTTAAGACATCTTTAAGACATCTTTAAGACAAGTTTATAAGGTATTGTTTTAAAGGTGTCTTAAAGACGTCCTAAAGACGTCTTATGACTCGATTTTGTACATTTGTGCTGTCTGGGCGCACACAAACTACTGTAAATATCGATTATCTTTGAGAATGACTACAAAAGCACTCTATTTTAATCATTATTTGTTCGTTTACTCTACTGATAAAAATTTCAAGAAAATTCTCATTTTTACAACTGAATGTAGGAACTCAATGCGAAAAGTTTACAAGAAGATTTCGATAAATACGTAGTTATGTTTTCTGCTAGTATGCTGTAACACAAAGCACAGCACATATTTATATAAGATCTATATGTACAAAAAATACGAAAAGAATATTATAACCGTGTTAGTGACAATCGCTTCTACGTTATCGACATTTTTCGAGTTCATCATCCCCACTCATTTCAACATTCCCTTAAAGTTTGAAGAATTACGTTTTTTATCGATAGTACAAGAATCTTGTTTTAAAGAACCTTCTCCCAATAAGAGGAGATTCTGCTTCAGATAAACATATTTCTCTTGATTTAAAAGGGAGGAGAAAAGTTGGAGTAATATCCAGCAGATTTTCGACTAACATGGTTCACTTCATTGAAATACTCTTTCCGCAAAAGTTTTCATTCGAATTTTTGTTTAGAACATGGGATTACAAGAAATAGAGCAGACTCGGAGAAATATATGATGACAGGAACTATACAGATGACAGCTACAGGAGTTTGTATATAGAATTAATGTGTATAGTTTATTAAAGTTAAAGAGAGTTGTCACCAGCGAGTTGTCACCCGTATAGCTGCCATTTTCTCTGAGTGTCATTTTCTCTGAGTGCACCTTGTCATTTTCTCTGAGTGCACCTTGCAACTAAAATTCTTCCCTTCGGATGTAAAATATTTGCCTTTTGTTTTCAGAAGAATCCTCTTAGGCTTCCGTATGGATTTCCGCGGCGGCGGATGAGGTTATATTTTTTTGGATAATAGAGAAATTACGAAAATACACGAAACTTGTTTCACATATCCATGTATCGTACAATGTCTGGATTTAGATCGCACGCGCATGTGGAACTTGTTAAATTCGGCAGAAAAATTCCAGTTCGTAAACCACCAGGTTACATATATAAAACGGCATTTATACATGAAATAAAGTGCAGAAAGAACGCTCACCGGGGCGTTTTCGTCTCTTGCTTATCAGTGTGTCGGCACCATCGATCCATTTTTCTTCCGGACCTTTTGCGTAATGATGCTGAAAGTGTTCGATTGATCGAACCGCCGTCTGTATCTGACAACGTCACGGGCGGCACATAACATGCGCGCGATCGATTGGACGCGTCCAATCGAGGATCAACGAGAGAGAGAAGGAGGGAGGGAGAGAGAGCTGGATTATTATAATTTCAATTAGCTCACTTTACACATTAACTCACTTTCCAGCGTACGATTCAATCCGCCGATGATATATTTCAAATTCACAGCGCGGGAATTATACGGAAAATCGCCGTTTCCCAGAGAGGGATTCGGTATGCAAAAAGTGTGCTGCATCTCTCATCTCTTGATGAACCTCTCTTCATCGCCTTATCTCGCGTCCGCGCTCACGAGAACGTCCTCAGAATTGCCTCCGTTTTGCCGCAGTGCGATCACGATCGCGATGTAATCGCCGACCGGCCAGCGATCGAAGACACGTCGGCCGACGACGGGCGTGCCAATGTTCATAAAAATGTTCGTCGTGTCTCCAAAACTTTAAACCGCCGTCTATTATTCCGGCGTAGGAGTAGACGAGCCGCCCGAAAGTTTCTCGATAAATCATCACGGGATGGAGAAGAGGCGGTGGCGACGGTGGTGGTGGAGGTGGTGGTGGTGATGGTGGTGTGAGGGATAAAAAGCACGAAGTCGCGAAAGCAATAAATATTAATAGCGAATGGTTACTGCATAATCGATCAGAACTTTTCTCGGTCATTCCGCCGGTTGAAACAACGTCGCCGGGCACGTCCAGGTATACCGGATGTCCCGGATATCCCGTGTGTCCCTTTGCGCGCACAAGATTCCTTGAGCGGCTTACAGCTCGTGTCTTCGTTGTAAAAAGGTCCGAGCATCTTTGAATTGTAAACGACGAAACATTCGCGAAATCTCGCGAGCCGGTGGTCAACCTTCAAAACGTGCATTGCAAATCTAAATGTATTATTTTTAAACTCATGAGCATGTAATGTGGCTGAAATTCTCTCTCTTACTCTCTCTCTCTCTCTCTCTCTCTCTCTCTCTCTCTC